TTAAAATCAAAATGTCACTATGAATTAATTCAAGTGGTTTTGTACTTCTTTCAATTCAATGAAAAGGAGTTTTGGTTAATTTTGCCTCAACATAAATTTCACATTTATGATTTGGATCAATTTCAAATTTAGGTAAACATTCCATATTAATTAATCTATGCAAAAATCCATAATTAGCATGTCCTAGTCTACCATGCCACAAATTTGAAGACTAAAGCAAGTAAGAAGAAGATGTATATTTATTAATAACAGAGAGTACAACAGTCATTACATTTATTTTGAAAAGGCCATCAGACATGTAATATTTTCCTGCATACATCCCATTTTTGGTAAGTACAAATTTGTCACTTTCAAAAACTAGCCTAAACCCATTTTTACTTAACAGAGATCCGGAAACTAGATTCTTGCGAATTTCTGGTACATGCAGCACATTGTTGAGAGTGAGTTCCTTCCCAGATGTCATCTTCAAAATAATATTTCCTTGTTCTTCAACTTTAGAAGTTGAGAAGTTACCCATGAAAAGTTGTTTGTCGTTGTCCACCACAGAATAAGATGTGAACATCTTTTTGTCGGCACAGATGCGGTGAGTAACACCAGTGTCCACCCACCATTCTTTAGGATTTTCGACAAGGTTTGCCTCTGAAACAACTGCAGAAAGATTTATGTCATCTACACCATTGGAAATTTTGTCCATTTCAGTCATATTGGTTTGAGCAGGCTTCTTACTTGACCTTCCTTTGCCTTTGCGCTTGCTACAACAATCTTTGGCCCGATGTCCCTCTTTCTCACAAATGTAACACTTGCTATTGAACTTGTACTTCTTACTTTCCCCCCTTTAGAGCTTTGTGAGGAATTTTCTCCAGAATACTTCTGTTTTATTGCTTTTTAAGCAAGTTCCACCATATTTTCCTTAGACTCCATTGGATGTTTACCAACTCACTTCTCAGAATTGCGGCTGCCCTCCTTAATCCTCAAACACACAATCAATTCTTCCCCAGTCATTTCTTTGCTCTTATGTTTGAGATAGTTCTTGAATTCCTTCCAGCCTTATGATAATTTTTCAATTAAGGCAGCAACTTGGAAGAATTCACTGAGGGACATGTTTTCTACATGAATGTGATACAGAATAAGTCGAAGATTTTGAACTTGACTGATCACAGTCTTTGAATCAATCATCACAAAATCTAGGAATTTGCCAACCACAAATTTCTTTGAGCCAGCATCATCTGTTTTGTACTTCTTCTCCAAAGACTCCCAAAGTTCTTTTGCCTTCTTGATAGGATTGTAGACGTTGTACAATGTGTTATCAAGCTCGTTCAAAATCAGCATGTTTCTAGGCATCGACTGTAGCAACCACTTGTCGGTCGGTTTCATCCTCATTCACAGTAGGAGCATTTTCACGAATGAAGCGCACCAAGTTTAGAGTAGTAAGATATAATAGCATTTTCTGCTGCCATCTTTTAAAATCAATTCCTAAGAACTTCTCTGGCTTTTCACCATGAGTGACTGGCACAGTCACAACAAGAGGAGGGGTTGGAGCAATTGTAGCCACCATACCAGTACTTGTTTGAGCATTAGTTTCAGTAGGCATGACTTCTAAATTATAAAACAAAATTAGAATTAGAATTTATACTACCCAAAAAATTAAACCATAAACACAGAATTTAAATTCTATAAAAAAATAAAAGAAACAAGAATTGTTACTTTTATTTCCAATTAATTTGAAAATAAAATTTAATTTAAACAAATTAATTTCACACGAAAAATATTTCTGTAACACTTCAAGAATTAAAATATTGAAAACAGAATTTTAATTAATGAAAACTCAGAAATTATTTTTGAAAATCAAAATTAATTTTTGACGAACTTCACAAATAAATATTCTGAAATTGTCAATGGCTACCAGTATATTACTACTAGTTGTCAAAGAAAATAAATAGTATATTACTACTATTTTTCAAACAGTATATTACTACTATTTGTATTTTTCAACTAGAATATTAATTTGTAAAACCACAGAAAATAATTTCTGTAAGAAGAAGAAATGAAGAAAGAGAAACAAACGAAAAATTCTATATAAACAGAATAATTTGAATCTGTCTTAAGATTATTGGCACAATCTACAGTGTAAAATAAATAACTTGAAACCAAATCCAACAAATCAAAATAAATTACTTACATAATTTATTTACCGAAATGAATAAGAACAAAAATAGATCAAGTTGAGTGCGTGACACTTTGCCCTTAAGACAAATTTGCCCTGCTCCAGAGCTTACGAATAAATAGCGTCTATCTCCTAGGACACAATAATCTACATAGATTGTGGTAGCACTCCAAACAATCTATACGGCGAACTAGAACCTGTGTTTTATACTCTCTGAATTTTTCCTAAAAAACTAATATGAAGCGAATTTATGCAAGAGAGCAAAACCAAAAGAGAACCAAGAGAATTTCGGATGCCCAAACTGCTGGAAAAGTTGTAGTATTTAAAGGCTAAATAGTGACCTTTGGGAAAGGACCGAACAGGTATAAAATGAAGTGAACAAGTGCATAATTCAATTTGAAGAGATGCAGAATTCAAACTATTTGAAGACGGTGTGAATCTGTTTGGAACAAAATTGAATTTGTCCGATGCAACAGGTTGAAAACTATTTGAACCTGTTGAAATAGGACCAGAAGAGGCACTGTATGGACATGAAAATTGAATTCAAATTTGGCGCAAAATTTAAAAAATAAATTCTATCCAAAAATTAATGTTATGACCCAACCTGCAACCCGATTTGGCTCGGTCGGCAGCGGCGCGCGTGTGGTAGTTTGAGCCAAAGCCCACTTTGTTTATAATTCCTCCCTTCTACAAACTTGGGGTGCCCCTTGGGGCCGAATCCAAGTTTGTCCACCTAGAGCTTATATACACATACAAGCTCTTTTCAAGTTTCAATGTGGGACAATCCATTTCAAGGAAACCCACATTTTACTTCTTTAATTGTTTATTCCACGAACTAGAAAATGACATCAACTTCTCATTCACTCATAAATGGTTTTGACGAACCGTCTTCACTGTGTGACTTGCCATGTGGCAATGAACACATCACATCTTTGGACCCACCCCAAAAGACGTATGGGCCCCATTATAATTTGGGCTCAAAGTTTGCCTAAAATAAGCCTATAAAAATCATATTTTTCCGACAATTCCCTACAAAAATTAAAACTTAAAACTTTTAGAGACCAATTCGTGTTGTCTCAAAAATTAATTTTTTGTCTCCATAACTACTTCTTTTGCCCTGGACTGTAATTAGACTTTTAGAGACAAATTTTGGTTGTCTCAAAATCAGTCCAGTACTGAGGCTGTTGATTTGGTGGCATGGCATGGCATTGTCATTGGGGTCTTTAGGATCATCAACTATTGGTGCATTTGCAACATTAATAGATCTTAATAAGTTATTAGCGCCACTAGCTCAGGTCAGTGTATACTCTGAAATTGGTAAAGTGATTTTCACAACTACTTCACCTACAAGATTGACATGATAAGCTTTGAAAATTTTGGTTACCAGAGCTCCAAAAGGTAGTGATCGGCTACTGAGAGTATCAAGATTTGCAACCACCATTTCTTTCAGTAGTATGTAGCATAATTCTAATGTTTGTCCAACTTCAAAACAATATAACAAATAAACATTATAAAATGGAACAACATCAAAATGTCCTTTTTTGGGAGTGACATTTTTGACTATCCATCGATGAAGAATACGAATGCGGGGTTTCAAATGTCTTGCTTGCAAATTAGTGCTGATAAATCAGTTCTCACAAATTATAGTATAAACCTCACTTACATCACTAACAATGTTAACTAGGTCAGACTCACTTTGAAAATGACTTTGTAAATCCCCTGACTGAACTCTAATAATTTGTGCAAAAGTGTGGGCGGTTCAGTGTGATTAGTTTACACAAGACGTGGATATACCTTTTGTGGTAAATTGGTTAAATGTAGCCATCCCATCGTCTCCAGTCTACCAACCAACAGAGGATCATATTGAGAAGGTAGATTTACCCTTCTCCCGGTAACAATTGGTCAGTTGGCAAAATTTGGATAAGCTTGTTCATGATTATATGTGAGAAAATCAATAGTTGAATATGTCTGCTCTTGTTGGCGTGGTGGAGAGTTAGAGGTTTGGCCAACGTTCTGGTTTGGCTCTTTTTGTTCTCAGCATGACTTATGAACGTTAGCAAAAGGTAACAAAAATATATGAAAAATGTATAGCAAAATGTATAAAAATGGTATGCAAAAGGTAAGCAACAGATAGTCAAAGCTCAATCTTGGGTTGAGACTTGCTAGAAGCTGGAACAGGTGAGACCGGTTGACCTGCCAGATGACCCACCAATTGTCCAGCCGGATGACCCACTGGTTGGCCGGCAGGTCAATTGAATTGTTCAGCTTACTTCTAGAGCTTTGAAATTGTAAACAGCTCTGAAAGAACCTTTGATCAAAGCTCTTGGTCTCTTGTTTTACATGGATATGAATTGTAAAAATATAGACTAAATTTTTGAAATTAATTGATTGTGAAGTTAATTAAGGTTGGTGGTGGCGGAGGTGGTTTTATCGTTCGAGTCACTGATCTGGTTGTATTGATTCTATTTTGATACTATTTGAATAATGAATGTCAATGAAAATGGTGATGAAGTTGGAGAAAGTTGTGAAGTAATGAAGTTGTTGGAATAAAGATGGTGTTGCTAAATGTTGTGTAATGAAATTGTTGGTTAGCAGAGTGATATAAAGCCTCAGTCAAACAAATAGTCAAAACACACTGCTGAGTTTTGGCTTCTATTTTTGTTTTTGTTTTTTTTCCTTTTATCAAAAGCTGACCAATTGAGGTTTTGCAGAGGGCTGATGGCTCTATATAATATGAGTTAAATTACGATGTTGTCCTTTTTATTTTTTTTAATATATAAATTTAGTATTCGTTGAAAGAGGAGGTAATATGGTCATTTCAATGTCAAACACATCAATGAATAGCCACACTAATATTATTAATGGTACTTCCACTTCACGAGTAAGAATTTCACGGGTGAAATGGACAGGTGAGGCACAATAACAAAGGTGAAGATAACGGTATAGGTTCACGAATTTTTCAACAAAGTGATAAAATTGAACAAATGAAAAAATGTTTAGGTAACGTTTATATTTTTGGTTTCTATTTACAAAAAATTTATTAATTAGTTTTTATTTATTTTTTAAAAAATATAAATTACAAACGTGTTTGGTTTGAACAAAATATTTATTGTCTAAATTAAACAAACATAAACAAAAAAAATGTTTATTTAGGTCTAAAATATTTATATTTATTTTTTATTATTTTATGACAATAGGATCATACACATTATAATTGAAAAAAAAAATTAATTATAAAAATAAATTGGGAAAAAATTAATTTTAAAAAATAATTGAAAAACATTAATTGTAAAAATAAATAAATTGAAAAAAAATAATTGCAATAAAAATTATTTCAAAAAAATTTATTTGGAAAGAAAAGTAATTGAAAAAAAAGTGATTGAAAAAGAAAATTATTTGGAAAAAAAATTATTTGAAAAACAAATTATTTGAAAAAAATTTAATTGAAAAAAAAATTATTAATTCATTTTTTGAATTGAATTTTGAAAAGAATTTGGTTATGAATGTTGATCAAAAATTTCAATCCAGTTTTGAGTTGGGTGTTTGATTATAAATTATAACATTTTCAATTAAGTTTTAAAAAATCTTTTCAAAACTCATAGCCAAATAAGTTTTTTTATTTCACATGTCACATTAAACTTTCAAAATTCAATTACAAACTCAATTCAAAATTCTATTAAAAAATCATATCTAAATAAATTTTTTATACTTAAATCATAATTTCAAAACTTATAAACTCAAAATACAACTCTATTTTTAAATCATATTTAGAAAACTCTATTAAATATTATCTTTATTTTTATGTGCTTTTCACATTAGATCATTAATAAATTTATTATTTTTAACTTTAAATTTATCTTTATTTTTATGTGCTTTTCACATTAGATCATTAATAAATTTATTATTTTTAACTTTAAATTATTAAAAAAATTTACACATCAAATATTAAGATTTAAAATTAATTTTTTTATTTTAAAAATAAATTTAACCTAAAAACAGAACGCTCCTCTTTTCCTAAAAAAAAAAAAACAAAACAAAACAGAGCCCTCCTCCTCACTCATCGCCGTCCTCCCAGACACCGCCGTTACGGCCGTCTTCGTCCACCTCCGCCGGTCCATCTGCCACAGTCGTCAACCAGCACTACCATCTCCGTCCTCTATCACGGTATCTCTCACTGGTATCCGCCCTCTCTCTCTATATATACATCACCGTCACAGCCGTTGTCATCCACCACCGTGGGCCGATCCGCCACCGCCTCCAACCAGAACCACCGCCGCCGTAGCTGTCACAGGTATCTCTATCTCTCTGTATATATGTATATATGTACATTGTATATCTAGTCTAAAATATTCTGAGATATTTTTGATATTTCGTTCCCCTTTCTCTGTACATGTGTATGAAAATATAGAGCTTAGATCTTGTTTGTAACGATTCCTTTCTTTTGATTCAAAATCTTCTTAATCTATGTAAATATGTCGCTGATTTGGTCCCCTGAATTGACAATTGCTCTGTTTTTTTTTTCTTCTGTTCTCAATTTTCCCTTGAATTGACACTTGCAGGTGATAAGGGTTATGGTTGAGTTATATTTGATTTTGAGGTTATGATCATATATATTATGTGTTTGCATAGTACATTATAGAGGAATGTTAATACTAAGAAAATAATTGGGCAACAGGATTTGGTTTTCACGTAATGGCCTTGTGTACCTTTGATTTGGGAGCTTGCTCATCAGTGAGATTTTGGTAAGCCATTGAACTTGGATTAATTGATGTGTGATAAGTAGAAGAGTGGTGGAAGCTAGTTCATTGTTTAAATGTAGATGTACAGTATGTCGTGGTTGTTGTCTTATTCTATCTGGTGAGGGGGAATCTACTAGGTAGGACATGATGACAATTCCTCATTGGAGAATGATGTTGTTAATTCTTTACAGAGAGACCTTCACTTGTGTTTCCCTATTGGCCGAGTTATTTCCTAGGGGGATAACATATATAATGCAAAACAAATCATGTGGGGAAGGGGGGAATAATATAATTATTGTTAGAGAAGTCATGGTTTTGGTGCAATTATGTTATTGTCGATTTTTGATTTAGTAATAATCACAATTTGTTGTTCGAACTTGGTCTGTGAAGTGATTGGGTAATTTGTGCTTTAAAGATTTAGTTGTATTAATTCATTAAATTTAAGAGTGACAAGTCAGCATATGAAAAACTAGCATAATTTAAGGCATATGACTTATGGGATATTCGGATAACAAAAAATTGATAATGAACTTGGTTGATGTAATAGATAATTTCTAAGAAGCACGAATACGAATGCAGACATGGGATACGGTGATTTCAAAAAAATGGAGATACGGACACGGTAGGAATATGCCAATAAAATATGTTTTCATATATTTTTATTTGCTATCTAGATTAATATTATATGCACAAACAATCAATATTAACAAAAATTAACTCTGTTTTTTTTATAAAAATAAAAAAAAATAAAAACTTTTAAATTAACACTTACAGTTTATATCTTTTTTTATAGATGATCTATTAAGTATTTAAATTTAAGAAAAAAATAATAAATATTTAACATCCTACATTCATCAAAAGCACTAAAGAAAATGGGGAAAAAAATAAGTTGGCATGTCCTTAGTGTGTTTCCGGAAAATAAATTAATTAAATTAGAGGACATGCAATGTGGTGTGTCTCATACGTGTCACAGCCATGTTCGCGTGTCCAACACGGATACGACAATTATTTTTAAGTGTCGGTGCTTCATAAGATATTTTAATTGTTAGTTGGGTGCATTCATTTATCAATGATATTTTGGTGATGGATTGAGGAATAATTGTGGAATTGTTTAGTTAAATGTGTGCATGATTAATAACATTGATATTAGTTTGGCCAAACGTGACCAATTAGGCTATGATATTCTTAAAACTTCCCTAAACCATGTGTGCTTGAGGTCTAAGAAGATAGAAGTTAGAAGCGTGTTTATCAAACATGTGTGACTCAGAAGTTTTGAGTCTCGTCGTCTTGCATGGGTATTGAACTTTAAATTTGAGAATGTGATTATTTGTGTCACTTAAACATAAGAAGTTGATAATTTTTATTTGAGTGTGCAATGGAAGCATGTCTACTGAGTTTCAAGGTATTAAGAATGGTAAATTTCGAGGACGGAATTTTTAAGAGAGGAGAGTGTGATATCCTGACACAAAATAATACATTATTAAATGATTATATTTTGGTGGATGAAGTAATAATGGATAGCATATAATAGAGTTTGAGTATATTGGTTTGGAGTGTCGACGGAATTGTATGTCGAATATCACATGATAAGATGGCATGTTTGGGTGGCTAAATTATATGTACAAGAGTGCATGTGAGCAATTGATTTGTAATAAAATTATTAAGAAAAATTAAATTAGTAAAGAAATGTGGAAGAAGATAATAGGCACTGAGAAGAATAAGGAATGTATGAATATAATGAAATAGTTTAATAGGATGGATAAGCAATTGAATTATGTTTTAATGTTTTTAGTTGTAAATGGATATTTATTGGTGTCTTTAAGGAAGGAGTGAGACGTAAGTGAGAAGGTAAATCAAGAATGAACTAAGGAATAAAAATAGGAACAGTGGATTTGATTGTGTTGATTACAAAAGGCACTATTGTAATTGTAATTAAAAAAAGGAAGCAATGGAAAAGAGAAGCGGAGTAAATGGTGGTAATCTTGTGGTTTATAGTCTTTGGAATCCCTCACAATATTATAACTCATCCACTAGGGGTAATCTTGTGGTTTAAAGGTTTGTTGCATATGCTAAATGCAATCGCGGATCCCTTCAAAGACAATGTAGTTTAGAATTACTTTTGTTTTGTTGTTGTTGCTTTACTAGAGTACTAGCAATGTGTAAGTAGGGGGTGTCCTGTTTGAGGGTGATAGGGATTTTCGTTTAACTTCATACTTGGATGTGCTAATTTGAAGATTAATGAGACCTTTAATGCTATCGGACAATTGAATTGCTCTTCTTGTGACGAGGTAAAATATATTTGTTAAGTTCAGGAGTCCTACTCATAGTTAGTTTCATACTTTTGCGATTCTTATCTCAATTCTAGGTGCTTAGCATTGTGCAAGACATGGAATGCACCATCATAGATCACATCAGGAAGATTGGAGAACAAGAGGCAACCATGGATTTTTTTGGTTGGGATGAGAGATACTCTGTTGTCTCTAGTAGATGAACTTTGTTTTCGATTGGACTAGACAACAAGTGACCATTTTGTTGATCGAGCCACAATGGAAACACCATTGGGTAACTTGGTCACTACTCTTGAAAGAGCAATAGCCAAATTGACCATTGAAAGAGATAATCTAAGAGTTGTTGGCTAAAGAGTGAGTGTAATGCTCTTAGATTTTGGAGACTAGTTGAGGTGTTGATCTTGAGCAGGAAGTTGCATCACTAACCATAGAGAGGTATACTATATTTTGACAGTCATTCAGCCGTTGCTAAGCTCTTTTTTTTTTTTTTTTTTTTTTTTTTGTGTGTGTGTGTGTGTTCTCTCTATAGTCAGCAATTCAACCTACTGCTTAAGCTCTTCAACTCAGCTAGACTTAGAAGATTTGAGCAAGTCACACTCCCTTTGCAATCGAGTTAGAGAGCATAAATATCAAGTTGCATCACTGACCATGGGGATGTGTATTTTGTTTTTTGTGGTCATTGTGCTGTTGTCTTGTACCCTTGCTATGGTTAGTGATGTGATTTATTTCTCTAGCTCCCAACTCGAGTAAAAGGGATGGTGATACTCATAAATCTTTTGAGAGCATCACACTCCCTCCTTATTGACACCTATCACTACATAGGTTTTTCACTCTCAATGTTCAATCTAACCATTACTCTATTAGGAGCTTCGACCCTACCACGCAAAGATGATTGTATGGTGTCTCGTTTTACACAAAGGTCCATCGTTGTCTAATCTAATTGAGAAGGAAGCTTATAAACTCAAAGATAAAAGAGTATCTCCCTATTACTTGTCAGAGAGTTGGTGGTTGCCACTTCCTCTATAACCTGCATGTCACGTTTGGGATGGTACCTCACATGTCCCGGATAGTTCCATGTTAAGCCGTCCCCATGCAATGCAACTAATACCAATGTCGTCAACTTAGCCTCCTCGTGACAAAGTACCCAAATTTGGGGCAAGACTAGCAAAAGTAGGCTATAAAGCTAAACCCTAAACCCTAAAATGTCGGAAGGTGGAAATTTTGGTTGAATGGGGATGATATCCTAATTATGGATCATGTGAGGGGGGATTATGCTCGCCTAGCCCGGGTGGAAGAAATTAACTTTCAACAGAAGTCTAGTTGTCTTTAGTTGAAAGAGTGACCACAACACGAGATTTTTTCATCTAATTGCCAATGTCCATTGCAGGGTGAACCTTCTGGGTAAGATACGGGTGGATGGGGTGGATTTGTTGTCAAAGGAGATTGGGGGAGGGTTGTTGGGTTTTATCAGAGATTGTTCCATCAGGCAAAGGGGATATGGCATATGGGGCTGGATGGGGTTCAATTTGATGTTATCTCGAAGATTGATTAGTTGGCATTGGAGCAAGTGTTTTAAGAAGAGGAGGTATCAATAGTGAGATATACAGTAAGGCAACAAAATGTGAGAAAGGCACCAGGGTGTAGTTGGATTGAACTCAGTGATGGAGTCCACATTTTTGTTATTGGTGACTAGACACATCCTGAAGACTACTTGATTTATGCTAGATTTAACTACTCGCATGTATGAGTATGGATATATGCCAAATGTCTAGCTTGGTTGGCATTGGCTAACATGGCAATATGTAGAAAATAATATTCTTAATCCCAACAAGAATAAAAGCTATCTTAAATATCCAATGCAGGAATCGATGCACAGGAGGGGTATAGGTTGTCTCTCTTGCATATACGATGTTATCTCATGAGCACATAGTGACTTTTGTGTTTATCGAAGAACACTCACATGCAAGGTTTTAAAAAGCGGCCGCAACCGTTACGTAACGGTTGTGGTGGTTACCGCCACCTGTTACGGCCGCTATAGCGGTATGACGGAAATTCACATGTGTAACGGTCGTAGAAATACCGTAATGGTCGTAACGGCCCATTACACCCTTTTATAATATTCTGAATAACTTCTTTTCCCAAAAAAATGAATAAATGAAATCTTACAAAAAAGAACGAATACTCAAGTGATCCAAGCCCAAAGAAAAAATCTTATATGAATTTATTTTCTTTATAATTTTTTAATTTTTATTTCATTACAGTAG